GATAACATGTAGAAGAAATGCTTTACTATTGTGCCAAAGAATTCTTTTCTTAAAATACCTGAGATAACACGTTTGTGGCCTTGTAATTTGCATCATTAGGACCAGATAAAATCTTGTCTGACGTGTTCTCCACTGGAAATTGTTTAGGCCTTTTCTTGAGGTTGCTACAAACTGGATTCATCATCCGCTAAGAACTTGGAATCAGTAAGACCTTTGGGCTTCTTTTCTGAAACTAGATGTTTCCGTTCGCGTAGGTAGGACTGTTATCTTCCATTTCCTCATGACACTTCTTTCTATGCTGTGAACAACTTGGTTTTGAAAATGAAGCTTGTCACATCTCTCCTGCAAGCAAAATAAGTCAACCATATACCGCAAAATACAGCCACCCCCGAGTTTATTTCAGTTTCAAATCTGAAAACATTATGCTGCTTCCCTACCCAAAAATGAAGTAGTAATATATAATCAAGCAGAATGTCTTGGACAAAGATTTGCTGCAACTAGAAAGGTGGATTTCAATTGATATCCTTTTAGTGACTTGTCACACGTTTAGAAATTTTCCGAAAGAGAAAACAACAACAAATACAAATAGCTGAAAGCACAAAAATTAAACGATGACAAGAAAAAGAAGAAGAAGAGAGAATGTTAAAGAACACAGTTATATATGATCTCACAGATGCATGCAATTCTTGCTCCTTTAAGAATATGGAAATGCATCTCAATTTCCCGGTGAACACTACATTATCACTCTCACAACTCCGTAAAACATGTAACTGAGTGATGCATTCTAATTAACCTGTACGTATATAAAGATTAAGAAAAACAACAAGTATACGTGTTTAGGCATCTGGAGTGCAAATCTCAGTTTTGGGCTATAGTCGTATTGCAAAATTTATACTTTTGATTCCAAGGAAACCATAAACATCAAGAAGAAGAATTCTGGAATTTCCTAGTTCTTAAATTACATTTTATCTGATAGATTCCAATACATTTGTCTTTGTAGCTATATACCAACCGTTTTATCTTCGCTTTATAAATTATAACTGGTCATTCATTTTTGTTTAATAATCATACCATAATGAGTTTGTTGAGTGAAAATTTGTTCTTCACATTGAAGATGTATGACATTACGTAGAGACAAAAAGTTATACAATATATAACATATAATTCAATATATTATGAAACAATTTTTAATAACCATTCAAAGAGAGTAATTAACAAACTATTGTTCATCATTTTTATCATTTAAAACATATTCCATATTGGACTAAATCACCATTTAAGGATTTTCTCTTTATTTTCATTAATATTTGAGTAATCTAACTAGACATGCCCTTGGATTTTACAAGCTTTATAGAATAGTTGATTACTGAAATTTTTCAGCAATATTTAACTTCTGCTGTAATCGAACAAAATAGAATATTGTATTCCTTGTGAAGGCCTTTAAAGAAGCTGCAATTGCCTTCATCTTGTCTCCTAATTTGGCTCTTTTGATTTGTATCCCTTTGTTCTTCTTACAGTGATTGCTTCTTAATTAATAGGTGCACAAAATAGTTCATCTTTAGTGTCATTTTTCTCTTCTTAAAAAAGGAAGTTTGTTGGTATCTTTAGTGTTACTCTTTAAAGGTATTTAAGCAGTTATTAAGAGAACATATGACCACCTAATCTACTAGATGTAGATGTGAAAAATTAAAAACAACAACCTCAAGAACTATTGTTGTGCCTTCAGTTCCAGTGGTCGTAACTTCAGCTCTTTCCCCCCCAATTTGGCGGTTGTTAGATCTCTCTTATGTTCTCAACAATCTTGATTTCATTTGTTTTGTTTTCTTTTCTTTGGATCACATTGTCAAGGTCAATGATATTTAGGATAGGTAAGATATGAACATATGGACTGAAATTGACCTTAGTTACTTCAAATTTTGAACTTATTTTTATAAATTTAGTTACTTTAAAGTTGCAAACTTTCTTATCATGAGGCTTGGAGTTTTACAAAACTTGATATTAAAGAAAGTTTTCTCACACTTTGATTCCCAAGAGGATGCACATATAAAGCTCAAAACTTTTTAGTCAGATATTTGAGATAACTAAATCCCATCGTTAAATATGATCTTAGGTGCATGGAGGATCGGTGCTTAGAGATCATAGAATAAATGAAATCTCATGTAAATTGTTAGGGAGGACCAATACTGATAGAAATCACCTATTGTCATTCACTGCACCAGCAGCTCTAGGAAACAACAAACGCAAGCTGTACCAGATCATGATGGAGGAAGACTGAAAAGGTATTCTCTTCACAACTTATTTTTACTTGATTCATACTACCACCGATGCAAATACACATTCTGTCGTTTATGTTGTTTTAATACCCTAAAAAATATCGCTTGTTAATTAGAATCCTAATCTAACTCTAATTAACCAAACTACATTCATTTGTCATTCTATTTCTCCAACTTTTTGTCTCTACATAATGTCATACATCTTCAATGTGAAGAACAAATTTTCACTCAACAAACTCATTATGGTATGATTATTAAACAAAAATGAATGACCAGTTATAATTTATAAACCGAAGATAAAACAGTTGGTATATAGCTACAAAGACAAAGTTGGTTGCTTGACTTTTTCTATCAAATATTGATTGATTTACATGGTTAGACAGTAAAATTGTACTTACTGATAATCAATGATGATGGAATCTTGAATTCTGCTTCCATTTGAAGCTTATGATGGAGGGCTACGAGGGCAAAAACATCTTGCAGTAAGTAAGGAGTTGTTAATAAGTTAGAACAGCTACGGAAAATGGTAATATGTGTGGCAAGTATATTATAGAAAAATGTTGAGAGATACCGAACTCAAAGCATATAGCTTGATAGTCGAAACTGTGAAACGATGTAACTTTTAGTTGTATTGGTGACAACAATGGTGGTTCGGGGTATAACCTCTTCCACTGGTTCAACAATTGTGCCCCGATCGATCGTCCAGGTGAAATCATGAACATGAGTTCCATATGCCTTCGTTGATTCTTGGACATGTCCATCGACACCAAGTGTGTTTGGAACGGAACAAACTCTTTTCGTAATGTATGATAATTGTACCGTTCTTAACAACTTGCCGTTGAGTTTCCTATTAGACAATTAATAGAGTTAGGAAGATATAACCTAACAGAAATAACAAATAGTTGGTATAGACTTTCAAAAGTTTTGAGTTTCAACTTGCCATTGTATTTATATTTTAGACACTATGTTCTATATCAGCATTGCATATCTATCGCAACTCCAATAATAAAAAAGGCTGATGTGTTTAACAGAGCAATGTCCTTGATAAAAGAGTGTCTTTTAACTTCTCTTCCTATTCCACATGAATTTACACAAGCATAACATCACTAATTCTAATGATGAAAAAAAGATTGCTACGTGTTTTTGAATAAATTTGAATCAAGTAAATCAGATAGATTTCATGAGGTAAGTAACTTAGTTTATTCTTATGATTGTCTTCGAGTTTGATATAAAGACTAAAGACTGACTGAACAATGAAGGATATTTACTAAATAAATGAATAATAGACCTTTTTTCTAGAGGGAAGTATCGATACATATACGAGTTAATAAGATTGTGGCACATGATTAACTTTGATTCTTAAATCTAAATTTAGTGCAACATTTTAATAAAGATACTTTTTTGATTATGAATGACAATGATATTTCTATATAGCACTCTAACTTATAACCATTTTTTAACATACAAAGACTTCATTTGTCTATTGAATTTGTTTTTTTCATTGTTTTTAAATCGCAATCTCTTGTGTCTTTCATGCTGGCTACTGAGAGAGAACATGTAACTATTGTTGACTAATACTGATTGTCACCTTATCTTCTACTGCTACTAATCATGGTAAAAAAATATTGTTTGGCGTACACATTAATCTCTCTTTTTTTTATGACAAACTCCTTAAGCTCTCAATTTTGGGGGACCTAATATTTTTATCAAAAAGTAGATATATTATGTGCACGTTAGAAGGATAGTTAATTGTCTAGATATTGAAAAGTAATACCACAACCAGATAGACATTATGGAGTATTTCAAATTGTGTCCAAGAGGGAAAAAACATAAGCACAAGAGGGGTTCACTAGAAGAAGAAAATAGTCCAGCTTCGTGTCATTTCTTGTTTTGCTATGACACAAATAATGATTACTCTGACATGTATACATGTACCTATTATTTCACTCAAATAGTTGTTTTGTTCTATGGATTAGCCATAAAATACTCTTATTTGGGTGCTTTAAAGATTATAGTTCGTCTTCACGAACTCACTTGAATATTTGAAGAATTTTATACTATTTGGAGAGGAAACAAATTCCTTAGCTAGATTATGTGATGAGCAGGATAACGAATATCTTACTGGTTTGATTATCGGTTTAAGGTGTTTACAAACTGATAAATCGAATCGATAATTCACAAGACGGATCAAATCGATTGATAAGCACCCCTATTAAGTCCACAGAATTAACAACTTAACATAGTGGTAGATTTAAAGAAGCCAAGTACCTGCTTTTGACGCAAGATTTCTTTATGTGTGTGGTTAGATTAAACAAATTATTAACAAAATTTAACTCGCATACCTGTAAAATGCATTAACTTTATAAGCAAGTATTATTATATTATATTATATATTTATTTTTGATTTATTTTATAATATATTTGAGTTAATTTTTAATGTATTGGAATTAGTTTTTAATGTATTCGATTTATATATTATGTATCTTCTTAAATTCAAATGTTGAATACACATATGAAATATCTGTAACGACCTGTTTAGTCGTTTTGAGCAGCAAATTTTATTTCTGGAAAACTGGCTGAGACGACGGACCCCACGACGGACCGTCATGGGCACGACGGATCGTCGCAGGGTCTCGTTTCAAAGCACTTAGAAAATCTGAAATTGGGTACTGAAAATCGACTCTCTGAACTTCGTAACGAAATGGCAGGACGGATCGTCACATGTGTGACGGATCGTCACAGACTCTTTGGTGGAAATTGAGTATCTGAACCTTGCGACGACCTGCAGGACGGACCGTCGCAGGCACGACGGGCCGTCACAGGTTGCGTAATCCTAGTCTGGGTCGGATTTCTGTTAAATGTTTTAAGGGGCGTTTTGGACTATTCTTGATTATAATTATAAAGTTAGTGGGTGAATATTAATAATCCAATTTCTTGAGGGTTAAAGGAGATAACCTTGAATTAATTAATGAGTTAAATTGATCATCTTTCATACTTAATTATATGCTAATTAGGATAAAAGAAAGAGGTTTTTGAATAAAGAAAATAGAAAGAACAAGAGAAAGAGGGAGAAAGTCGAACGAGAAAGAGGAGAAACGAAGAGAAACAAAGCTTGGGAAATTGCTTGCTTGATCACTAATCTTCGGTGGAGGTAGGTTATGGTTTCTCTTACGATATTCGTAGTAAACTCTTAATAGCGAATGATATGTATTGATAATATTGTAAACCCTGCTATGTGCTTAATTGTATGCTTTCATGAATGTGATTATATGATTGTGATGAAATAAGCATGATGAAGCTATTGAATCCCAAATCTTGATAAAAACCTAATCTCTTGTTAATGATGATGCCTTGGTATAAAATAAGGCTTGATGAACTAAAGTAATGAGATGATGATGCCTTGGTATAAGAGAAGGCTTGATGAATTAATAGAATGAGATTAGGGGATCGGGTGTCACGAACCGACGCGTAGATTTAGGGGATCGGGTGTCACGAACCGACACGTAGATTTAGGGGATCGGGTGTCACGAACCGACACGTAGATTTAGGGGATCGGGTGTCACGAACCGACACGTAGATTTAGGGAATCGGGTGTCACGAACCGACACGTAGATTTAGGGGATCGAGTGTCACAAACTGACACGTAGATTTAGGGGATCGGAGTGTCACGTACCGACACAAGAGGATTAATGAATATGAGGGAGCGGAGTGTCACGTACCGACACAAGAGAAATAAAGATAATGAATCTTGAAAGATGTTAATATACTCAATCTAATGAACATAATTCCCAAATGAGTATGGTATTGAGGCTTGAGTCCTCATGTATGCACTTGACGGTAATTGTTAATGATATAGTACTTGCTGTTGCTACATGTTAAGTATCATAGTTGATTTTATGATATTACTTGGTATATATTGATTTCTATTTTGAGTTGGCCGATGATATCTACTCAGTACCCGTGTTTTGTACTGACCCCTACTTTTATGTTTTCTTCTTGTTTATTTGTGGAGTGCAGCAAACGTGCCGTCATCTTCGACTCAAAAGTAACTCTAGTCAGTCTTCATTACTCCGGATATCAGGGTGAGCTAATGCTTCTAGCTTGGACTGGATCTTCCTCTTCATGTCTTGATGCCTTGAAGTTCTGGCATGGACTAGCTTTTATGTATTTTTAGCTTCTTAGAAACTCTTAGATTTAGTAACTTGAAGTAGATGTTCTTGTGATGATGACTTCCAGATTTTGGGGAAATAATAGTTATTGAATTGGTTTTTATTAATGAGTTTAAGTCTTCCGCATTACTTTATGTTGATATTACATTGAAATGTTAAGGTTTAGATTGGTTGGTTCGCTCACATAGGAGGGTAAGTGTGGGTGCCAGTCGCGGCCCGGATTTGGATCGTGACAATATCTAACAAAACGAATTATAAAATTTGAAGGATGAGAATGTGTTAAGGCTAAGCATGTGTGAATGCAGGTTAAAAGCATTTATGCCATTTCATTCTTTCACCTAATTCTTTTGCTACTAAAGTCACGTGTCCGTACATGTGCCTTTATCAGACCCCACCCCACCCCTTCACAATAAAAAAAATCAATAATTAATTAGCAATTAAAATAATAATTAGTGAATAATTAATAATTGCTAAAGTCGTTTATTGTTATTAACGAAGCACAAAACACCAAAACAACACTGTACCGCAAAATCTCATCCATCAGCATCACCGTTAATGTGACGGAGCTGTTACATATTAATACTACTAATTACTCACTAATCACTCACATTAATCAACAAATTTAAACAAAACTGGTAAACTAAACACAAAATTAAATTTTAAAATTACGAATATTAAACCATTTATACTTATCGCCGATTAATCTGCCGATGAAATCAAAGAGCCAAAAGCGGGTTAGACCCGAATACATCTCCGAAATCCTGAAAGAAGTCCTTTACGGGCCGGGTTCTCGAACTGAAACAAATTATTTGGGAAGAAACTCTTGAACGGTGGTAAATCGCAGAAGTTCTTCGACATGGAAATGTCATTATTGTCCCTGATATCGGAGGGTAAAATCGATAATGACTTAGCTTAAGCTTCCTCGTTATTCTGAGATTCATCAAATGAAGTTGAAGCACACCGTAGAACGGACTTCGGCGAGCGTTGACCGTTTTGGGATTCTTCGCCAGAGTTGTAGCCGGAGCAGCTGGTTTTCGTCGCCGGAGGAGTGGCGAAGAAGAGGGAACAAATAGAGAATAACGATTACAGCTAGAAGAAGGAAAAACAACCATCAAAGTTTAGGGAAAATAAAACATTAGAGAAATCAAAGAAAAAATTTGAAGGAGCCTTACCTGGGATGAATGGGAAAAACATAGAAGAGATTTTCAGCAACCAAAGTAAAAAGCAATAAAGGAAGAAAGTTGAAAGATGAAGCTAATGATGTGTCACTGAGAATATCTCTGCACAAGACACCTAATCTATAATAAAGCTTTGAAAGGACGAAAATATCCTCAAATTTGAATTAATAGACATGAACCACACATGTTGAAACTAGCCTTTTCTATAATAGTAAGTAGTAATATATATATATATATATATATATATATATAATTTCATAAATAAATAAAAAAATAAAACAAAATCTTACTTTTATTTTTTATTTTGTGGATTAGAAAATTTGTATTTTATTGCTAAAAAATATACATGACATAAAAATGTAGTGTCATCAAGTGAATGTGTATTTTTTTACTTCTAAGTTATCAAAAATTACCATGATTTGATCATGAATTTGATTCAAGTAAAGTAAATTGAATTTGTATTATTATTGTGAAAATACATAGTATATATCATTATTATACTAGATATTGGACAGAAAAACACTTCAAAAATCTCATATACAAATCTCATATACCTAATATTTTTAGAGTAAGTTTAGATATTAAAATTTTAGTATTTACTATTCGCTTAATAGTGCAGACAATTTATATAAAATAATTGTTTGAATTTTTCAAATATAATCTTTTTGAAAAGTGCAATTATAAAGAGGAAAAAAAATTGTTTTTAAACTCTTAGTTGTTGGAGAAATTTTAATTTTAACTTTGTGAAATATGACTCAACAATTTGTTCTTTAAATTTGTGAAAATATTTGTCTTTTTGCTCTTTTATATCCGAAGAACTATATATGAAATAGACTATCTTTAAAATGTATTGTCTTCATGTATGAAATAATAATAATAATAATTTAACATCTGATAGTCAAATAATGAAATAATATATAACATGTTTAATTTTATAATGATCTATAAGTAGAATAACGTCAATTTACATTTTAATCAAATATAAATTGATTTTATGATAGTTAAATAATGAAACGATATATAACATGTTTAATTTATGAAGATCCACAAATAGAATAGCATAAATTCATATTTTAATTAATTAAATATAAAATAATTTTGATTACATATAGTAGTAAAAACAATAAAATTGCTAGAATAGATTAATATATATCAGAGGATTGAGATTAAAATTTACTTTATTTAAAAGGTAATTACAAATATTACTTATAAAAAAAATGATTTTTCATAACATGAAAAATAAAGCACTTTTCTTTAACAAGTTCAATTGATATGATAGTATAAAATTATCATTAAGCTGACAGGAAATTTAAGTTAAAAATCACAATAAGGAACCTAATAAGCATGACTTAAAGTCATAATAGTCACTAATTAATTGTGATTATCATTCAGCCTTTCCTTGTAGTTGCTGCACACCAGTAGCGTGATTTGGTTTTTTATTTGTGTCCGATAATTATATTATAGAGAATAGCAGAACTCACAAAAAAAAAGTATAATTTGAAAAATCTTCGCCTAGCCCAAGATCGTTAATTAAGATTGGGAGATTCAACTAAAAAAGATGAAACTAGAAAGGAGAAGGAATATTTTTTAAGTGTTAACCTAAAGGGAATACATGGGAGATATATATAGGAGATATAGGAAGGAGTACTAATCCTAATAGGACTAGGATTAAGGAGTACTAATCCTAATAGGACTTGTATTAGTACACAGTAAATACTAATATTATGTAATACTATTTATTTAATACTATCTGTTATTATCCCCTCAAGCTGAGCTGAACGGAAGCTTGGAACTGAGGTAATCGTGCTGTCGGCTCGGGAGAGGCTTGGTGAGAATATTAGCCGGTTGTTCTTCAGTGGGTACATACTGCACAGTCATGGTACCGGCCTGAACTTCATCGCGAACAAAGAGACAATCGGTATCAACATGCTTCATTCTGGTGTGTAGGACGGAATTCTTGGCCACACAGATGGTTGATTCGTTGTCACAATAGAGAGCAGGAACAGCGTGAGTGGCGCGGAGTTCGCGAAGAATATATGTGACCCACATGGTTTCAGCAGCAAGAAGAGCAAGGGCGTGGTATTCAGCTTCAGTCGAGGACCGAGAGACCTTGGGTTGTTTTTTTGTACACCAGGCGATCATTGGCCCCAAAAAAACGAGAAACCCCGATGTAGATTTTATGTCATTTTTATCATTCGCCCAATCTGAATCTGAGAAACCCTAAAGTTCCAAATCCCCGGGTCGAATGAGTAAACCACGACCAAGAGTGCCAAAAATGTACCTAAGAATGCGTTTTAGACAATGGTAATCATGTTCACTTGGTTGATGCATGCGCTGAGCAACTCGGTTGACAGCAAACTGGATGTCAGGACGGGTAATGGCCAGATACTGTAGAGCCCCAATGAGGCTGCGGAAGTGGGTGATATCAGCAAAGGGGGTGTCGGCTCCATTCGTAGACGAAGAGACTGCCATCGGTGTTGGTTGACTGGTGCATTTTTTTAGTCCAGCTTTCTGCAACATATCTCGAGTATATTTTGACTGATGAAGAAACAAGCCGCTGCCAGTCCGAGAAACCTCCATTCCCAGGAAATAATGTAACGGGCCAAGGTCCTTCATTTTGAAGGTAGTATGCATAGCTCGAGTGACATCCTGAATGAGAGCTGCAGTAGAGCCTGTAATAATGATATCATCTACATAGACAAGAAGAATGATTGTACCGTGTGCTGAATGTCGAGTAAACAGACTCGTGTCGTGTATGCAACACGTGAAGCCGAGTCCCTGGAGGAATATTTTCAGACGTGTGTAACAAACACGGGGGGGCTTGCTTGAGCCCATACAGAGACTTCTGGAGTTTGCAAACATGTTGAGGGAAGCGGGGATCAACATAGCCCGGTGGTTGCGTCATGTAGATAGTTTCATCAAGCATGCCATGAAGAAAAGCATTGGAAACATCCAACTGATTGATGAGCCAATTGTTGCGCACGACGAGTGACAATACCAGGCAAATGGTTTCCTGCCGAATAACAGGACTGAATGTCTCGGAGTAATCAAGCCCATACTCCTGATTGAAGCCTTTAACAACCAAACGAGCCTTGTACCTAGAAATACTGCCATCTGCATTGTGTTTAATTTTGTACACCCATTTACAGCCCACTAGGTGCCGCCCATGGGGCTTAGGTACAAGAACCCAAGTTTTCTGATCAGTCAAAGCCTTAAAATCGTCATCCATAGCATGACGCCAATAAGCATTTTTTGAGGCAACAGAGTAGGTTGTTGGTTCACTAACGGGAAGGGGTGTATTTGGTAGTATGGTAGCCTGAAAGGTTTTGGGTTTAAAGATACCGGCTTTGCCACGGGTTAACATGGGATGAGTAGTGGGGGGTGTCACGGGTGGTGGTGATTCAGGGGTGGCCGGGAAGGACTCAAAACGGATCGGGCTGGAGATGTTATGAGTGTGGGGTGGTTCGGGTTGGCTGTGAGTGTGGGTGGTGGTTGTGGGTGTATTGTGGGTGACGGTCGAAGGGGTGATGAAGGTTGGTTGGGTAGTGGGTGGAGGTGCGGGGGAAGGTAGTGAGGGACCCTGTGAGTATGTTGGAAAAAGAGGAAGGACGCCAATGAATGATGTATTTGTGGAGGAGGAAATAGACTCGTAGGGAAACTCATTTTCGACAAATTTGACATGACGAGATATGTAGACTTTATGAGTTTGTGTGTCAAGACAGCGATAACCCTTGGAGGTAGGATGATAGCCCAAAAAAATACAAGGACGGGATCGGGGTTGTAATTTGTGAGTAATATGAGGGCGTAGCCAAGGGTAGGCAAGACACCCAAAGACGCGGAGGTTGGTATAATTGGGAAGTTCTTGGTAAAGGAGTTGATAGGGTGATTTGTTGGAGAGGGTGTGACTGGGCATTCTGTTAATGAGGTAGTTTGCGGTGGCTAGAGCTTCTACCCAAAAGGAGATAGGGAGATGAGATTGATGTAGAAGAGTAACCACCGTTTCAATGAGATGACGATGCTTACGCTCAGCCACCCCATTCTGTTCGGGAGTGTATGGACAGGAGGTTTGATGTATAATTCCCAGGGATTGCAAAAACTGGCCAAAGATGTTATTTACATATTCCTTTCCATTGTCACTTCGAAAAAGTTTAACATGAGAATTGAATTGTGTTTTGACCATTTTTTAAAGGTGACAAAGGTGGTGTATGCCTGTGATTTGTGTTTTAGTGGGTACAACCAAGTGTATTTTGTAAAATCATCCACAAAACAAATATAATAGCGAAAACCAGTAAATGAAGGAACAGCAGTAGGACCCCATAGGTCAGAATGGATAAGTTGAAAAGATGCAGTTGTACGCTTCTCAGATAAAGTAAAAGGTGATTTATGAGATTTAGCAATTGAACAGGAGTCACAATTGTTTACATTAATGGAAGAAAAACCTAATTCAGACATTAAAGAATTTATTATTTGAGTAGACGGGTGGCCCAGACGACTGTGCCACAACAGACTGTGGCCATCAGTCGAAAGAGCCACCGGAGCCACAGGAATGCTTTCTGAAACTGGGTGGGCAGACAAACTTGTGCCAGGAAGAACGTACAAACCATGCTCACAGGGCCCCTGAAAAATCACCCTTTTGGTAGTATTGTCTAGGATGTGAAAATTATTAGAGGTGAACAAGAGTGAGCAATTATTGTCTTTTGTGAATTGGTGAACTGAAAGGAGATTGGTTTTAATAGATGGGACGTGGGTAAGGTTACCTGGGTGAAAGATAGCGGTGGGGGTTTTAATGGTACCCGTGCCAGTGTGAGAAATATTAAAGGACTCACCGTTGCCAACAGTAATACCATTGGAGCCATGATATGGATTTGGAGCATTAAGCTTGGATAGATCAGAAGTAACGTGCATGTTGGCCCCAGTATCCAACAGTCATTCAGAGGAAGGGCCGGCTTGAGATGCATAATTGGCACGGTTATCACTATTTCGACTCTCCTCATATCGAAACCGGCAACGAGCAGTGGTGTGTCCTGTTTTCTGACAGATTTGACAAGTTGGACGATCCCGCTTGTAAGTGCCCTACCCGCCGCTGGAAGATGACTGCCCGCCGCTGTCGAAGGAGTGCAGGTTGTTGTTGCTGCCGTGCTGCTGACCGTCGTACGGTGGATGACTGCCCTGCCGACCGCCGCGCCCGCGGCCTCCGTTGTTTCTACCGTAGCCTCCGCGGCTCCCCTGCCGGCCACCACCACGCCCCTCGCAATAGTTCTGGCTTGCGGTGAGGGCGGTGGCCGGCTCCATAACAGCGGCTTCTCGGAGAAGAAGTTTGCTCTCCAGATCCACGTTGATTTCTTCACTTTTTAGCCACGAGGAGAGAGTAGCCAGGTCAACAGGCGTTGGACTGATGCGAACCGCCTGTTTAATGGAGGAGTAAGCTGATGGGAGCCCCCGAACGACGCACATGACGAGATTTTTTTCGGGAATGATTTCGTTCACGGTGTCGAGGGCTGTGATGATGGTTGAGACCTCGTCTAAATACTCCGCCATAGTTTTCGTGCCTTTGGTAATTGTGTGGAGACGATCACGCAATTGAAAAATATGAGAGTGGGAAATTGATGCATAGCGTGTTGTGAAGGTCGTCCACAGGGCTGAAGCAGTTGTGTAGGATCGGACGTGTTTCTGAACCGTGGGAGAGATGACCGCAATCAAACACGAACGGATCTGGCCATCCACGGCTTTCCAGGCGGCATAGGCCAGATTGGTTTTTTCTGATTTGTCCGTGGCGGTGATGACTGCCGGCGGCGGTTCTGTGCTTCCATCGACGTATTTGAGAAGGTAATTGGCCTCAAGGGCTGTAAGAACGGTGATTTTCCATGTAGGATAATTTATGTCTGATAATTTTTCGGGAATTAGGGCATGAAGATGCCTGAGAAGGAGTTTAACGCCAGAAGGAAGTGAATCGAGAGGATCCACCTCGGTTGTCATGGCTGTCGCCGCCCAAGAGAAGAGAGGGAACGATCGTTGCCCTAAAGAGAGAAAAAAAAACCTAGAGAAAAGAAGATCTAGGTTTTCTGGCTCGTGATACCATGAAGGAATATTGATTGTATTGAAGTGTTAACCTAATAAGGGATACATGGGAGATATATATAGGAGATATAGGAAGGAGTACTAATCCTAATAGGTTTAGGATTAAGGAGTACTAATCCTAATAGGACTTGTATTAGTACACAGTAAATACTAATATTATGTAATACTATTTATTTAATACTATCTGTTATTTAATTTTGAATAAGAAAACTTTGATATAGAAAAAGACTATTTGATGGGTTGATTAGAAATGACTATGACCATCCCTATTTATTCTAGAGTAGGGATCTTTTAGATTATCCTAGATTGATCTACAAGAAAAATCTAGATGACATTATCTTCTAACTATCTAAAAAGAATCTAGATTTTTCTATATTTCACTATAAATATCTACTTGTCTAGATCATCTACACAATTCCTAGATACATCAAGTACTTAAGGTACTACTCTTCATAACTCTAGAAGTTCTACTAAATATTTAGGATTATTTATACCTCAAAAAATCATCTTTATTGTTCACACTCCCCCCTTAGAGTGATTTTTTGGAAATCCGTCACTTGTCGTGGAGGAGCTCAAACGAAGCATTGAGCCACATCTTGGTGAAAATGTCAGCAGTTTCTTTTGGACTCCTCTTGTTGATTCAAATGATAAAGAATTTCCCACATCGAATGATCCATGTAAATTATCTCCTTGTTGATTTCATGAACTCCCCCTTTCTCTTAGCTTCTCGACAACTATATTATCCAGAAAAACGCTATCAATTTGTAGTGAAGTCTCAATATCAACATAGGATTCACTGCCATATTCTTTTATCATCTCCTCGATAGATTTTTTGACGACATCAGAGCTTTCAAAAATCATATCATTTACCTTTGAGCCTGCAATATCAACTTCTTCCTCTATATGATCTATATTTCTCCATCTACTTTCGAAATTTGCTCTGAGTCATTAATCCACCTTGATATTGTAGATGACTAACCGGATACTTTCGCTTCTAATACATCTCCCTCAATGTCTTCTCCATGAAGGCCTTCATCGACACACATACTTTTAAACACTACCTGTTCAGGAGTTACTTCTTTGGTTTCTTCGATAGAAGTTACCATATCACTGGTATGAACATCTTCAAGAGCTTTTTGCTTTATATCGGTGACATCACTGTCTTGCTTCTCCACATGATCGACTGCATTGTATTCTGAATCTTCAATCCAATCTTTTTCAAAGTTAATGGAAGCCATGACATTTATTGTTCGAGCCTCAGCTAAGAAACATATTCCCCACTCTTCTTCTTCTTCAGCAACTTTTTGAGTCATATTGCTCTCCTTTGCTCGACAATATCTTTTTATGTGCCCTACTTCGCTACAATAATAATATCTGAGAGGCTTCTCACCATAATAATTAGAAGGTTTTTCCTTCTCTCTAGGTGAGCGTGAACAACCTAAGGATCGAAAGAGTGGCATATCTCCTGTTTTTCCTCTCAAGTTTTTGTTGTCAGCTACAAGAGCATTTCCTTCTCCATCCTTGAGAAACACACTAGCCAACTACTTGGCTAGTAATTCCTGTAACAACAACAAAATTTTAAATTTCTCCAAGGATGGTTGTTGAGTCCATCCTTGAATCGACGTCACAAATGGAATATATTCAGGTTTTAACCCATGAATGACTATTCTTCTCATTCGTGCTTCAAATATAGCCTTTTCCGAATTCAACAAAGATTGAATATAAATTCTTAATCTTCAAAAATTACTCGGTGATAGAAAGATTTCCTTGAGTAGTGTTAGCCAATTCATACTTCAATATCTGCAGTCGAGCTTCATTCTTCTTGTTGAACAAGCGATTGAGGGTCTTCCATATCTCCAGAGCTGATTTGCACCTTATAATATGATCAAATAAATCGGAGGAGATTGTCTTCTTTAAAATAATTCGCTTTCGCATTGGCCTGCTTCCACTTCTTATATATACTACTGTTTTCCGGTCTGTCGATAGAAGGACTTGTGTCATTCCCATTAACAATATCCCACAAATTCTCTCTCATAAGGTATGATTCCACACATGTCTTTCATACCTTGTAATTTGGACTAATTCAACAACTCTATTTCCAGTCCATTTACACGATCGCTAAAATTCATCTACACAAACTAATTGAATCTACCACCAACCCGATCTAGAAACAACACTCGTAAGATATGGAAGAAGACTATTTGATTTGGATTGATTGCAAATGACTATGACCATCCCCATTTATACGAGAGTGAGATGCTTCTAGAAGTTATTCTAGATTGATCTACAAGAAAAATCTAGATGTCATTATCTTTCTAACTATCTAACAAGAATCTAGATTTTTCTATAATTCACTATAAATATCTACTTCTCTAAAACATGTACACAATTCCTAGATATATCAAGTACTTAAGGTACTACTCTTCATAACTCTAGAAAGTTCTACTAAATATCTAGGATTATTTATACCTCCAAAAAATTATCTTTATTTTTCACATGTAGGAAGTCTGATAAAATCAATTTCATGATCAGTGTTTGATAATTATATTGAGGTTTGATTATTTAGAGATTATTCAGTGTTCAATATTCATATTGAGGCTCGACTAAATTTGAGTTTGCATATCGTAAGGCTTAAGAAGCCGTTCCAAATAGAATTTTTTCCCACAAAGCTCGAACTCGATATCTCTTATCAAAAATAAAAAAAAATCTAAATCAATTTATCACAATTCTATTTTGTCTTTATACTATAAGTTTATTTGCCTATTTGAAATTATTCGCTTTCTATGTTAATTCGACAATTTCCCCAAGGCATACAAACACATTATACTATTTAATGAGTGAACTTTTTGTTACCAAAATAGTTGACGATTTTTATGATAAGTACAAGAAGTTGAATGACTATTTTGTTATAGAAAGTTAATAATTTTCGTAAATAAAATAAATGGAATCTAATTAACATAAATTGCACATTTGTATTTGGCCAATGGAAAAGGGATCCACAGGTGAGCCTCACCAACCACATAATTTAATTCCCCTACCAATCGTTGTTTTTATGTGATCATTTTTATTGGTTATTGAACTTTTCAAAAACACATTTAAATATGTATCAAATTCATTAGGAAAACTGTACAAGTAATCCCTCAATCTATGCCTAAAATCTCAGAGACATATTTATACTATACTAAGGTTCTATTACCCACTGAACTTATTTTATAGCAATTTTCTACCCCTTTTTGGCCTACGTGGCACTAGCTTGAAAAAAAAGTCAACCAACGTTGAACCCACAAGATAGTGCTACGTAGGCCGAAAAGAGGTAGAAAATTATTAAAACTAGGAAAATTATGATCATTTGGTAATATTCGGATTTTAGATATATACACTATATTGTCAAGATCATTTTATCTTAAGGCAATTCAAACTCTTAAAAAAACTATATTTTTTTTATGTTTTTATACAAAAATTATGAGTCAAAGATATTTTAAGTATATGAAAGAAGATTAAGAAATATCCATGAAAATAGTTGGTTAGAAGTAATGAAATTTTCTAAATTCCAAGAACTTTTAAAGAACAACATCAGACTTTAAAGAAGGGACCAAAAGTCTCGAACAACAATACTCCCAAGTAAAGTGAAACATTGCGTTCATACAAGAACATAATTAACTAATTCAAATAGAGGACCTTCGACTCCTTTTTTACGACCCTAAAATTGTTAGTATCGTATATGTTTTTCCTCATCGTCTCAGAATTATCATTACTATTGCTTAAGTTTCATAACACAAGCCCAACTTATTTGCAATTGAACCGTAGTTTTTGTTATGGTTATATTATGCGGTTACAAAGAATTAATGTAATTATCAACCAAGCAGTTGGCGACATCATTCATAACTTGATATTCAAAACAAAAATTTTATACATAACATATTAAAATCTCAAAGCATAATTTTCTGAGTGCTTCAACTCACAAATATCCACAATAATAATAAAGACGACTTTACTTTCCTAACACAAGAAGAAGAACACATTTGCTTAACATATTTGTCAAAAAGATAGTCTGTCGATCTGTATCCAAGTTTACAGTTCAGAAATTTAATTGAAAGAATCCAAAAGAAAGAATTATTACTTCTTTATAAAAAAAACAAAAAAAAACTTTATCAAAAGAAAGAGTTATCACAGCAACAAAAATGATCTTTAGCGCAATCATAAATGTCCCTAGAAAAAGCCTATAGCAATATTGAATCCAATAGCAATTAATTAATGTAGGTAAAAGCTCTTGCATTTTTTTTTACTGTGCATATTCATTTCCGATAAAAAAATATTTTTATTTTAATGTATTTTGGACATTTGTTAGTTTCAAGAAAACTTGATCTCTTATTATGTCTAAAAGGAAGAGAAGAAGAAATATGACAAATTAGTTAACTTGCGATAAAAGTAGTGAACTAATTGTCTTTATACTAATATTCTAGGAAGGGTGCAATGTCATATAAAATGTCTGTACCTAAGAATGAGTAATCAAAATAATATACTAACTGTGGCAAAGAAGATAACAATCTGTTTGGTTCTTTTAACAAACTTCAGCATTGGTTGCGTATTAGTTTTTACATATTTATTGTTCTGTGCTATCAAATATAGCACAACCCACAAGAAATTTGCTCAAAAAGTATACGAATAAAACTATAGAAAGAGACAAAATAGAAAATATATTTTCAATCATCCTCACTGGAATTCTTAACTGAGTTAAAAAAAAAAGACACCAAAATAGAAAAAAAAAATTGCAATAGATACATGAATTACTATGACTTACAGTAAAAAATTAAGCTTCATTAGATAGGTGGAAGAAAACTTTGAGGCATGAAACACAATTCATAAGAAGCTTAATTAATGTATTTCAATTTAACTTTTCTATAGCGAAAAAAATCTACAAATAATAGTGGTAGAAATAAATCATTTCAAGAGTTTTATAAGTTGTGGACTGAGAGGTACAAGAGTAGTAATATCATATTGCGATAAAAAATGATTTTTCTTAGTTTATATGAAGAAACTTGTAAGGAGGAAAGAAAGAGAAGATCAATTTTCAATCATCTTTGCTGAAATATTTAATATAGTTAAAAAAAGGTCACCAAAATAGTAAAAGGAAATTGTCATAGTTACATGAATAACTATGACTTATAGTAAAATATTAATATCCATGAAGTAGGAGTTAGAAAACTTTAAGGAATGAAACAAACTTCATAAGAAGCATATTTATTGTATTTGAATTCGACTATCCTATAACGGAAAAAAACCTACAAATAATAGTGGCAAAAATTCCTCTAATATTAAACAAAGTGTAGGTTACAACTATTTGAAAAAGTTACCATCCTTCGGAAAGGTCACAACCTTACATAAAAGTCGTAACCCTCCATAAAAGTCATAACTCTTCCTAAAGGTTGCAACTTTTCATAAAAGTCTCCACTTTTCATGAAAGGGGAAAACTAATTCTGAAAATAGATAAATTTAAAGGAAAATCCTTGTATGTGATGGCGCCATGTAGGCGGGCCTAGGGTTCTCATACATATATTTATACACACACACACACACACAGATATATATATATATATATATATATATATATATATATATATATATATATATATATATATATATATGTATGTATATATATATATATATGTATATATTATTATTATTATTATTATTATTATTATTATTATTATTATTATTATTATTATAAGTAGAAAGCTCCAAAGTTTAAAGTTGAATACAATTTTATCCCTACACTAAATGAAAATGTTATAAAATATTTAATTAAATTCATCTAATATAATTAATTAAACATTTTAATCCTGAAATAAAGAAAATACTCCTTCAAGACTTTGTGCAAAAAAATGTAAATTTATAATGTTAAGTATCATATTGAGTACAGTACAATGAATCAACCATAATTATATGCTTCTCCACATATCAGTTACTAATTTCAAGAAGTCATTTATATATGCAGTGTCCTTTAATAATTTGTGCAAAAAAATGTAAATTCATGTTTAAATAAATGTTAAGTATCATATTGAGTACAATACAACAAATCAACCACAATTATATGCTTCTCCACATATCAGTTACTAATTTCGAGAAGTCATTAGAAGTCATTTATATATGCAACGCACATCTTAACAATTTCAGAATTGATTCTTCATATTCTTATATGTGTATTAGTACATTATCTTTTATAATTCCGTAAGTATATATATATATATAATATTCATACTCTTCAACTTTGAACAATAACTAAACATTTGGATTTAATAGTTTTAAAAATTAA